GTCTCATCAGCTAAGAGAAAATAGGTTGGTCACTGGAACGATCTTGGCTGTATTGCCACACATTAGTGTCAAAATTCTCCTCCCTGCATAGCGAGTTTGGCGAGTTTTTGCGGTACCGTATAATCTCGTCAAATCCACTATCTCCGGACGGACCGATATCTCCGGGGTGGGGGTAAGCGAAGCCTTAGCTACCACAATGGGTGATAGCTGGTGATGCAGAAATGATGTCTTGCGCACGGACAGTATCAAAATGGTACCTGATTTCAACGTCACTCTGAGCCTTACTTCCTGGCCAATTCACTAGAAGCCATTCTGACTCCTCATAGTTAAATAGTGAAATGATTGTCAGATAGCTTAAGTACTTAAGAATATCGAATATTGAAGCTCGCTTGATATCAGAACTATCAACAATGCCACCAATCCAAACAAACAGACACTGTCGAGGGCCAAAGCCAAAGTCAATAGCTGAATGAACCCTTCAAGCATCTGATCTCAAGCCAATAGTTTATTCAGAACAAACATACAGCCAGAGACAAAAGATCCGTGTACTGGTATTTCTCGAACACCATCAGATCCCACTTGCTTGAAAAAACCAATATCGTTGTCCTAGTTAACTTGAGGTATTACAACTCTTCAAAATCCCACAATGGACAATCAGTGACTGGGTTCGAAATAAAGCGAAGATTGAGAAACTCAGCCTGCACTCCCAATTATGTACTCAGTCTTTTTGATCCCAGTAATATTGATGCTTGTGTCACAAACTGTGACTAAGAAAGGCAGATTTCACAAAGCTTGGACTTCCGAGTTATAGGTATGTGGGGATTTTACATGACGCACATTAGTGCACCATAGGTTATTATGTTTACCTGTTCGTGACTCACAGTTATGAGTCACACAATGTTATGATTTTCACATATGACTCATACTTATGAGTCATGGGTTTCACTCAGGTGACGCAAGTTGCGCACCTGACTTGGTTATTATGTTTGGATTGGTTTTAGGTATGTTGTGCAGTAACTTATAGGAGTCGTCTGATGGATTTCGCATGACTCATGGTTATGCGTCACAGGGTCATGTGATGAAAGAGATGAGTCACGCCAGGTGAAGAGCTACTTGTCACAAACTGTGACTAAGCGAGGCAGATTTTACATAGCTCGCAATACCAAGCTATAGGTATGTTAGTATCACAAACTGTGACTAAGCGAGGCAGATTTCACATAGCTTGGACTTCCGAGTTATAGGTATGTTGAGTTTTTACATGACGCACATTAGTGCACCATAGGTTATTATGTTTACCGGTTCGCGACTCACAGTTGTGAGTCACACGATATTATGATTTTCGCACATGACTCATACTTATGAGTCATGGGTTTCACTCAGGTGATGCAAGTTGCACACCTGATTTGGTTATTATATTTTGATTGGTTTAGGCATGTTGCGCAGCGACTCATAGGGGTCGTCTGATGGATTTCATATGACTCATGGTTATGAGTCCCAGTGTTCGTGTGACATGAGGTGTGAGTCACGCCAGGTGAAGAGCGACTATATAAAGGGTCACTAGGACCCTGAGTATGAGCTCTTCACACGTTCTTCTTGTTTATTTCCTACCTTTAAGTTATTATCAATAAAATCTACCTTTACGCTCTTTAAGATTTATCTTAAGAAACCCGAGAAGTGTCTTTCCTCCCAGGAGAAAAGATTAAGTCCTAAGCGAGGACTAAGAAGAAGAATAAGAAGATAGGTGCGAATACGATAGTAGTCAAAGGACTGGACTATCGGGATCGCGTAGGCATAGGCCTGAGAGCTATCACCTTAAGGAGAAGTATCGTTACCTGTCGCTAGGTCCTACTCGGTAGGATTCTTAACATTAGAACATGTCTACAACACGACACTTAATGATTACATCACGGATCCTTTCAACAGAGATCATGAGGGAGACATAGACATCCAAGACAACAGTCTAGGACTAGGAGTGTAACCGGAGCTGGTACTCGGTTAAAGTTTGTCTTATGTTTTGTTTTAAGTATCGGTTGATACTTAGTTTGTTTTATGTTTTGTTTTAAGTATCGGTTGATACTTAGTTTGTTTTATGTTTTGTTTTAAGTATCGGTTGATACTAGGTTATTTTTATATTTTGATTGAGTAAGAACATGAGTGAGAATTCATGATCGTACTCAAACACATGTACTTAAAAAGACCGCTGTTTTCCACTCTGGAAACGGCAGACTTCGACAAACAGTATTCTAATATACTCGGTTGAACGGTTAAAAAAATGTAACGTGTTCATGCCGGGGCGCTAGTCACACTGCGGTGTACAATAGGAGCTGAGTGTTTCTCTACCGGAGAGTAACAGTTTGGGCTCGCTAAGGGAGGCTTCGGTGGTGGACTAGGAGAATAGAGATAACCGTTCAACTGAGTATAT